CTCCTCTCCCTTTGAGTGGAGTGGACTATCCCCCTCACCAGGATGAGTTAAACCACCGGTTGTCGAGCAAGGTGCACCCCCCGCCGGCCTAAATTCGGGGGGACCGGTAGCACAGGTTCAAGAGGGCTACCGGTAGCACAATGGGGAGAACCATTGGGGTTCTGTGGCCCTCGTCGACGCAACCTAGGGCTGGCGTTGGCATGCGAGCGGCCCCTTAGACAACAACAGGGCATATTGGAGCGGGTTATGACATCATGATTGCATATACTTTTTGTTTGAATTCTCCCATTATGCCTTGGCTCGTTAACACTGAAACGGTATTCACCAGTTCGCAGTAGCAAATGCAGATCCCAGGGCTCGATCCCTAGTTCCCCATCTTACCTGTGTACAATATTGATGGCAACCCGTAGATTTGAACCTGCGACCTGTCGAAACGCCAGTGGTAGGTAGATTGTCGTAGGTCACAGCTTAGAAGGGAATCGAACTGTAGACCTGTAGGGTAGGAGTCTAGACAGTTCCGAAGTCATAGCTGTAGGATGTCTGAAGGGTCAAGGTCGTAGCTGCTACTTACTTGAAAGGGCAAAGTCGTAGCTGCTACAGTACCGAAAGGCCAAAGTAGAAGTTTCTAGAACTGGCCTTTCRGAGTCAGCCCCTGTTTAGGCCGAGGCAAGTGGGCAAGTGGTGTRGGTCCACTCCGTAGAGTCAGCAGTCCCAGGTAGCCCAGTCCGGTCCAGTCAAGCRAGTACCGTCTGGGACTATGCACATCGTGGGCCAAGAGATACAGGGCAGACCAACACCGCACAAAAGTATAAATCAAGAGGCTGCGTCCAGCCATTCATTCATTCCTGCGGATGCCATGCGGAAGCGCTGCCTCAACAGCTTGTGCGAGGAGGTCTGCAGTGCGCCCGAAGACGAAGAGGGCAGTGAAGTGTAGTGTAGCGATAGGATAGTGGAAGCCATAGCTGCCATAGCTATAGTAGCGTGTGTGTGTGTGTGTGTGTTGCGTGTAGAGTGTTGCGTGTGGGACATCCAGGGTGATCCAGAGTGCGAACAATGAGTTGTGTGGTCGCTCAGTCGCCATAGCCAGTTTGAAGGGAACTCCTACCTGGTTATGATATCTTTGAGTACTGTGTGGGCGCATGTCGCCAGTTTGCTGTTTCGCTGTTTGCATGCATGACAAGTGTGAAGAAGTCGAGTCTGATTGCACTGGTATCAGAGCAGGTACCCGCTGTCCCATGCGCGCGATGTGTGCAGGGCCGATCGGCCATAGCTGAAGTGCCGCCGGAGGAGGCAGTCCGCCATAGCGGACCTCGAGGTGGAAGAAGACGCCGCGCACCTGCAACAAGAAGACTACGAGAGAGAGA